CTCTCCAGTGTGGATTCTTTTGTGGGAAATAAGATCACTACTAATGGTAAAGCTCTTTCCACACTCCATACACTTATATGGCTTCTCCCCTGTGTGGATCCTTTTATGGGAAGTAAGATTACTACTAATGGTAAAGCTCTTTCCACACTCCATACATTTATAGGGCTTCTCTCCAGTGTGGATTCTTTTGTGGGAAATAAGATCACTACTAATGGTAAAGCTCTTTCCACACTCCATACATTTATATGGCTTCTCTCCAGTGTGGATCCTTTTATGGGAAGTAAGATTACTACTAATGGTAAAGCTCTTTCCACACTCCATACATTTATATGGCTTCTCTCCAGTGTGGATTCTTTTGTGGGAAATAAGATCACTACTAATGGTAAAGCTCTTTCCACACTCCATACATTTATATGGCTTCTCTCCAGTGTGGATCCTTTTATGGGAAGTAAGAACACTACTAGTGGTAAAGCTCTTTCCACATTCCATACATTTATAAGGCTTCTCCCCGGTGTGGATCCTTTTGTGGGAAGTAAGATCACTACTAGTGGTAAAGCTCTTTCCACATTCCATACATTTATAAGGCTTCTCCCCTGTGTGGATCCTTTTATGGGAAGTAAGGGAACCGCTATGAGTGAAGTGCTTTCCACACTCCACACATTTGTACGGCTTCTCCCCCGTGTGGATCCTTTTATGTCTCATAAGGGATGAGTTTTCACTGAAGTTCTTTCCACATTGTCTGCAGTTATATGGTTTCTCTCCTGTGTGGATCCTTTTATGGGAAGTAAGGTGACTGCTAACAGTAAAACCCATTCCACACACCAAGCATTTATATGGTTTCTCCCCTGTATGGGTCCTGTTATGGTAAGTAAGGGAACCACTATGACTGAAGCTCTTTCCACACTCTCTGCATTTATACGGCTTCTCTCCTCTGTGCATCCTTTCATGGGAATTAAGGTTACCCTGTTGGGTGAAACCCTTCCCACATTCTCTACATTTATATGGCTTCTCCCCTGTGTGGATCCTTTTATGTCTCATAAGGGATACATTGTCATACAAGCCCTTTCCACATTCCATGCATTGATACGGCTTTTCCCCCGTGTGGATTCGTTTATGGGAAGTAAGTTGACTACTCTGAGTAAAAGTCTTTCCACAGTCCAAACATTTATAAGGTTTTTCCCCTGCATGGATCCTGTTGTGGTAAGTAAGGGAAACACTGTGGCTGTAGCTCTTCCCACACTCTCTGCATTTGTATGGCTTCTCCCCTGTATGAATCCTTTTATGGGAAGTAAGATTACTGCTTTGAGTAAAAGATTTTCCACACTCCATGCATTTATATGGCTTCTCTCCTGCATGGATCTTCTCATGTTTCATAAGGGATGCATTTTCACAGAAGCTCTTCCCACACTCTTTGCACTTATATGGCCTCTCTCCTGTGTGGATCCTTTTATGGGTAATAAGTTGACTGCTATGAGTAAAGGTCTTATCACACTCCTTGCATTTATATGGTTTCTCTCCTGTGTGGGTCCTTTTATGAGGAGTAAGTTGACTGCTATGAGTAAAAGTCTTTCCACATTCCAGGCATTTATAAAGCTTCTCTCCCGTATGGATCCTTTTATGAAATGTAAGGGAACAGCTGTCACTGAAACCATTTCCACACTCCATACACTTACATCGTTTCTTCCCTGTGTGGACCCTTTTATGAGAAATAAGATGACTGCTATTAACAAAACTCTTTCCACATTCCATGCATTTATATGGTTTCTCCCCTGTATGGATCTTGTTATGGTAAGAAAGGGAAACAACATGTCTGAAGCTCTTTCCACACTCCTTGCATGTATGAGATTTCTCTCCTGTGTGAATCCTTTTATGGGAAGTGAGTTGACTGTTATTGGTAAAGCCCTTCCCATATTCCAGACATTTGTTTGGCTTTTCCCCTTGATGAATCCTTTTATGTCTCACAAAGAATGCATTTTCACAGAAGCTTTTTCCACACTCCATGCATTTATATGGCATCTCCCCTGTGTGGATCCTTTTATGGATAGTAAGATTTCTATGTTGACCGAATACCTTTCCACACTCCATGCATTT